TGGACGTTATGTAGCTACCTTCTTTACGTCTTAATCGGCTGAGTGTACGAAGAAAATATTGCTGTTGCATGATACATAGACTAAGTAAAATGTATCATGGTTTAAGATGTTCCTTTTCAACGACTAATAGCATTGTGTATTAATTGAGTGATAATACGAATGAATGAGATAATCAGAATGAATCGTTTGAATGAGGATTATGGAAACTGTGAAAATATGATTGTCATGATTAATTGTCTGATTAATTAAAAAGATGATAATTATAAATGAATAATGATACATAAATGTAAAAGATAGAGGATAAAGTTATTAAAAGAAGATTTTTAATATATGTGATGTATATATATAAATAACTCTGAGTTTAATATTTTGAGTTTGCAAGAAATTGTCCAATGGTATAACATTATTGATAATATTAATACATCGTTTAACTGATAATATATTACTGAATAATAACATTATCGATAATATAATATATAAAATTACTGGTGGGAAGACACAAGTTATGGCAATGATAATACCGAATATTCCATGGATTGTTGTGCAAGATATGCATAGGTTTTGATTTATCGATAATTATAACACAAATCATCAACTAAAAAAAAAGTAATTTTAAAAATTGATAATATACGAGAGAATAATAAATTTTGTTATAAATACCAGAAATACTCGCAGTTATAAGATATTATTATATATACACGATTTTATATATTTAATAAATTTTGTTCGCCACTGATATATAGGATGAAATACGTGTCGCGTGAAATATTTTAGAGGAATTATTTGGAAAAAAGATAACTTATTACAGATATGTAAAAAGTTTGATGCAACATGCATTACATGTGAATTTAATTAAGGGAAATAGATATTACAGCTATTTTCTGCACAATACTTTATATCGACATATTATTAAGAATGTTGAGCGATATTTGTAGTCGAAAATAATCACATATTATTTGCAATCTCTAATTGAAACTGTAATTAATTATCGATCCGTCCCTATTCACAATTTATGAGTTTCTGTTTCACAAATCGTTATATGAAAAATCTATTGTTAGTTAAAATTGATACTTTTGCACGCTTTTGAATTATTATTTCTTATTTTATTATTAAATAATAGAAATATTATATTGTTCAGCGTGTAATCAATACGATTGATTCCTTTGTTTGTTAATTTTCTGATAGGCAAAGTAATCAATATTTCATGTATCGGTGTATTTCCTCAATTAAAGATTACTTAAATGTAAATAATAAGCAATAGATTACTGAATATAATCACAAAGTCATATAACTGTCGATATTTAATTGAAATAAGTGAGTATTTTAATAAACTGAATGTGAAAGGAAGTCTGATAGTGTAATGATCCGCCTGAATTCATACGATCTCGTACGATATCGGCTCGTGAATTTAAACAACCCATTAGCGTTCAATAATCTAATGAATTAGCTTATTAACTATCTATTTTCAAATATATATAAGTCTGTGAAGCTTACATAACTTTGTATTGTTGACATATCTGAAAAAATTGATATCTTTTGATAGATATGGATGACAAATTTAATAACGTTTTAAGCGAAAATATTATCGATAATAAATATTGATATTGCATTAAATGGTTTTTAAATATAATATGTATTTCATATGAGAGCATGTTCGCTCTTTCTGGTTGCGCAAACGAGTAAACCTGAGAGTACGCGCGATTAGCATATATAGCCGCGCGCATTGGATACACCGTGAAGCGTATACACACGCATGCATATGCATCGCATAGACCGGAATTAGCCTGAAATGTTTAATTGAACGAGCATCATCGACGCGCAAGTCTGTTCGGCGTCGCGATTGATGTATTACACAAACATAGCGCTTACCAAATCGCGGCGCCTGCCTTAATAATATTAGCTGTACAAGCAACGATGTGGAGACGCATTGCCCAATTACTCTTTCGGTGCTGGTTGAGTGTTTACTCGATAATTGCAATATACGCAACAAAAATATTTAACATTACGCATATATTTAATTTGTACCTCGTAAATTGTCAATTAATCGAATTATCTTGCCAATTTGTGTTACATAAAATGTGCAGGGAGAAATTGGAAATGGTCATCGTGACATCAAATGGTCATAATTTATATGAAAATGCATTTTATTCATTACAATACATTCTTTCTTGCAATATCGTAGACGTACTTTATACGAGTTTCATACACACGCGTATACGTACGGCGACGTGCGCGAGAGCGAACGAGAGGAGAAACGGGAGGAAGAGAGAGAGAAAGAGGGAAAGAAACAAAAATACCTACCTGGCCCATGATGAATGTTCCGACACCCATCACAGCGCAACGACATCACAGCGCGTCCCTCAAAACAGAGCTACAATGCGGCCTCTCGTAGCCATTATGCTAAAATGCAATCTCCTGATAACCGCAGCCGCGCCATCGCGGGGCTTAATCTCACCTATCTGTACAGCCGTCGGGGAACGGAAACAAAATGGGAATGAGAGACCGGTCTGCCTGGTCGGGTGATTCGGGATAAAGAGAGCGACATTGGGGATGCAGAAGGGAGAGCGACCAGATAGAGACGGAAAGAAAGAGAGAGAGAGAGAGAGAGCGAGAGCGCGGACAATGGTGGCGGAGACTGGAGAGATATACGAAAAGAAATAAATTCCGCAATCGATAAGCGTCCGGTTAAACGTCAAAGCGCGCCGGTGTGGGTAGACGAGGCACTTTCGATCCTTGACAAAAAACACAATCGCCGATATCCAGGGGATATAAAGCTCGCTCGCTTTGCCTCCCTTTTTCGAGCTCGCCCGCATCTTTTTTCTTTCCGGCGGAAAGTCGAGTCGATGTCGGAGTACACGTTGTAATGCCCGCGATCTCTTTGGACTCGTTTCTCATTCTCTCTCTCTTTCTCTCTTTCTCTTTCTCTGCGTAGTGTGGATGGGCTCTGCAATTTTACTACATTGCCGATAGAGATATCCGGGCAAAAATTATTTCCGACTGCTTGAAGAATTGCAATGAAACGTTCCAAATTCCCGTTAAAATGTTAAGTGTTACATAGTGAATCGTTTTCCGCGATTAACACACGATAAACTCGTAAATATAATCAAAATAGCAAATCTCCCTTTTTATATAGATATAGCACATATATGCCACATTTTTTATTTTATTTCCACATTTAACGTTTCAAATTTAAATTTATCGAGATTCAAATTTATTTAGGGAGTTCAAAATAAATGCGCCATACGTACGGTTTATTTAAAAATGATGCAAGTCAAATGTCGAAACGAAATGGTTTCATCCTATTTGTACAGCGAACATAAATGTATTCGTTTGATCACGTGAATATGTCAAATGTCGATATCGTCGAATGTTCCATTGGTGTGTGCAGTATGACGTAGTTGTTAACATACAAATGGATTAGAAAAACCTCGATGTATAATTTAACGCGCAAATTTATTTATTTTAATAAAAATCTCAGAGTTTAAAATATAATTACGACTTTTTTTATATAAATCATTTAGATTTTTCATTATTATTTTCATCGAAATGTGTGCGTGTGAATAATTTATATATCGACATCATGACGCAATTCGGTTAACGATCGGCAACCGATCCCAACCGGTTGCCACGACTTAATCAGTGAAGAGAAGAAGTGTTTCCCTGCCGAAGTGGCAGCAAAACGTTCGGCGTTTAGCTCTCTTCCGGGGAGCATTCGGAAAGTTTAGATACCTCTTCGGGATCCACTTCCAGGCGAGCGAATAAGCAGGCATTAAAAGCTTAGACCGCAGATCGAATTGGAAGTATCTACGTAACGTTCCTGCACCTTACCTTACCATCCTCTTCTTCCTGCAATTTCTTTGCTTCTCTCTCTCTCTCTCTCTCTCTCTCTCTCTCTCTCTCTCAGCGAATAAGCAGGCATTAAAAGCTTAGACCGCAGATCGAATTGGAAGTATCTACGTAACGTTCCTGCACCTTACCTTACCATCCTCTTCTTCCTGCAATTTCTTTGCTTTTCTCTCTCTCTCTCTCTCTCTCTCTACCTCTTCTCTTACTCGCTCTATTTCTTCGCCAATGCTCTGCAACGAGCGACCAGGTACGATCGCGCCAATATAGGTTTGCCATCGAGAATCGTCGAGATCCTCAAGCGAATCCGCAAAGCAAAGATTCAGGAGGGGCCCCCGCGTTTAATGGAGGATCATCGTGCGATTTCGTTCGGATTTTGTCAGCGAAATACTCGCCTCGTGACCAGATCAGTCCAGCTCGCCAGTTCCGGTTACGGCTCTCTCTTGGTTTTTTCCAAGTCGTGAATAATGTATCGTAATGCGATGATAAGTGATCGCGCCGCATACGGTCGAGGCTCGTGCGGAATTATGTTCCCACCGTTGATCGGAGCAAGCGATGCTTGCCTTTCCATGATACGGTTTAGAACATGTCCGTTTCCTGTCCAGCATTTTGCGTGTATACACATACTACAGGAACAATAGCGCGCTTTCACGTGCAAGCTTACGCTTGAATGAGTAACAACAATCATAATCTCTGATTATATATTTGTGCTGTAGACTGACATTATTCTATTACTACCGTTGTAATTCTGGTATAACGTTAGAGTTTGAGAGTGTTAAAGGAAATTTTATAATGAATGATATTAATTAATGGCAGATACAAATAAAAGTAGTTAGGTCGATAAATATATTTTGTAATGATTAACATCTTTAATGTACAACGCAAATGTAAAAATATAAAATATAATATTTATTATCGTTCATTTAATATGTAATATGCGTATATATATATACACACACACACAATACATGTGGTAATGATATACTATTGTTATATTAGTAACATTTCAATTTATCGCTGGAAGCATGAATCTATAATTTTACATTTTAATGCATTATTCTCTTTTCTCTCTCTCTCTCTTTCTCTTGTCTACGATAATTCCAACATTTTTGCCGACATTTTTAAGATTAATATGGATTTTTGTATTTTTTTTCCAGCGTCACCGAGTCACCGCGAAGCAATCCAAGCTGAATTTCGACATTTCCAGAGCGCATTCGGTGAGTTGATAATTATTTGGCATAATTAATATGTCCATTAGTCTTAAACGCGCAGTTTTAAAATATAGTTATTTTTGTTAATTATATAACATCATATACAGCGATAATCTTCATCAAAAATTAAAATGCTTTTACTTCTATTAAATTTTATGTTTGTTATTTGCTTATATAATCTTTAGAGTTTTGAATATCAAGTATATAAAGATTTAAGCTTAAGATAAGAGCATGAATCTGTTTTTCTTTATTATTTGTAATTTGAAAACTATTGATGTGTGTTTTGATTCATGTTACGAAAAATTATTTCACTTTTCCACGAGAAATATCGTTCTATTCGCCAAGTATCTCGTATAAAACTCTTGTTGTTCGTTGCGTTCGAAAACCTCTCTCCGTGATTACCTCGCGCGGTGTCCTCCTTCCGTACCGTGTAAGAAGCGAGCTTAAAAATCGGAGTCGAGTTTAAAATCACGACCTATAAGCTCGGCCTGTCGTGACAAGAAGCGAGAACGTAGGAATGGCTGAGGTTAAGTATCGAGGATCGTCAAGCTACTCGACCGACTTCGTTCCCTAAAGATGAAAGCGCTCTTAATGGAGTACCATTGTCTGGTTTCGTCCAAGTTTCGTCCCGTGATGTCCCAGGTTCACCCGAGCGATGGTACTCGCCGTTTTATCGCGTTCGGGATTTCGGGTTCGACCACTGCTTACAAGGTGGTCCGCAAGACAAGGGGACTGCTCGAACCGGTGTAATTAATGGCTTCATCAGTTCGTCCTCCGACTAATTAATTCGCCGTCTCGGACATGTCACTTTCCCGCGGAAACTTCCTCTCGACACTACTCTAATACATGGGTTCGAATATTAATCAGCTAAGGGAAAAGAAAAGACTTGTGTACGTGTTGTCGAATACAATGATTAAAATACTCATGTTGGTAAAGATTTTCTCACGTGCTATGTGTCACAAGCGAATTGTCATTTTGATATGAAAATCGAATATACTGCAAAGTAATTCAAGATAACAAGGACGTGTACTATTTTTTATATTTTTTAAATATTTTATTGCAAATTGTTTTTCTACATCTGAAATTAAGCATGTATAAAGTATTTTACAGAGTCCTGATAATATCTTAAGTTTTTTTTTTTTTCGATAATTTGAAATTGAGTTTTCTTTGGAAAAATTTTCGAAAAAAATCCAGAATTTATTTTATGTCTTATGCATATAAATAAAAGATATGCTTTATTTCGATATATATTACAATGTATCCGAATTTAAGTTTCATAAATCAATCGTTGGATGACGCTTTCACGAGAAAAACTTTCGCGACATTATTTAATCGCGTAATTATTAATTGGTTAGGTGTTTCAATATAAAACGAAAAATGTCGGGCACATGTCAGTACGAACTCATATGGGAAGCGATAATTTGCGAAATTCATTAGCACATTCTCAATCCAATTTAAAATTTCTCTCTCTCTCACAATCTCACCGAATTTCCGGACGCTGAGCGTATGCGTTATTATGCATTATGTATATATATTTCTAGTCGCGCTCCAATGCATCATTATATTCTAACGATCATGATTCACAAAAATATACATCTCAGAGAAAGAGAGAAGATATCAGAGCTACGAAAGTTAGAAGCGAAACTAAATTCAAGAAAAATATTGCTTATTCCAATCTTAAAATATCGATATATTTTATACAAGCCATTGAACTCTTTAAAGATATAAATAGAAAACAAAATCGTATTCTTGAGAATTAATTTCTAATTTTTTGAAAGCGCACACAGAATCTTCTTTTTTCTTCTTTGTTTTTTTTTTATATATTTAATATCGAAAATTTAACACACATGCACACAATGCACACGATTATACAAAATTAGTATATAGCAAAGTTACCGAGATAAAAAGAAATTAAGGTAAAGTGGGCGACTATCGATATGCATATACCTACATATATTTTTGTATATATTATCGAGTTGATCTTTGCTAAGATTTAGACACCTTTGGGGGCCCATGCTTGATCCTTATTTGTTATTATCGCTTCGCGCCTTCTCGGAGACGATATGTCGATATTTTTTAGATACGCTCGAGGTAAAATCGCGCGGTGTGTGTTAAAGGAAAATCTGCAGTCTTTCTGAAATGAGACGGGGTTCGAGAATGATTCAACAAAGTGGAAAAAGGGATCAACGAGAGGAAGGGGGCAGGGGAAGTTACTTGGAAAGGTTACGATAATCCGCCGAGCTCATCGTGTAATTTCCCATAAGGCGGTGGAGGCTTGTACTTCTCCTTCACCGAAACTTTCGGTAAAGTATATTTTGCCACCCCTAGTGTCTACGTCGATCCCCCTCTTCCCTTTCCGCCTTTCTTCTCATCGTTTGCACCCTCTCGAACCTGTCTACGGCAGACTACAACAATTTTCATTTTTTATGTTTTAATCTTTTTTTTTTAATTTAGTGTTTTATTATAAGCCTTTTGCATTTTTTTGTCACTTGATTCTGAATTTGTTTTTTTTTTTTTATTAATTTATTTCTCAACGTCCTTTCTCATTTTGCTTGTCCCATCAGGATGAGTTTCGAGCGGTGCAGTTTCGCGCGTGTCGCGAGGCTTAATTAGGCTAATGGATATCCGTAATTGATGCAACGAGACTGTCCACTCGAGTGCTGAATTACGCCTGCCACCAGCCCCGCCGTACCGTGATATAATTCGCCCTCTCGGCGAGAAATCCGTCTGGTCTCGTGCATTTTTCGGGCACGCGCTCGACAATAATCTTAGGATGCATTATCCAGAATTTATCTTGTCTTGTGAGTTAAAAAGTTGCATACAATATAATTTAAAAAAAAAACAAAAGAAAAACAAAACAATTTCTATCGTGGATTGAACCGAGAAAGCAATGTCGACAATTAAAAAATATAAAGCGTTAAGAAGAAAGTGAATAATAATCTTGAGATCTTTTGAATTCTTTGATCTTTAATCTTCCTCATAGTTTTATAAAAGTGAAATAAATTTGGAATATTAATTAATCTTCTTACAATTTTCCGTACGACGTAATATGCAAAATGAAATACTGAAATAACAATCCCAGGGAACTTTAGCAAGGAAACTCTATACCGGAAAATTCTGTGGTCTCAAAAACTCGTATTAAGATTCGCGACACAACGAGGAGAGATTAAGATTAACGAGTCTACTATACGCGAGTGGAATGGAGCGGAATGGAAAAATATCAACGTTGAAGCGATATTTTCATGTCGATTATCGCATTAATAACGCGCGAGAGATAACGTCGCGTGAGTTTTACGTTTCTCATCTCTTTTTCCGACAGCGGACACGAGCGCGTAAAAATTGCGACGCATTTCTCTCTGCTACAGTGAGAAACCGCCGGCGTTGCGAAAACGCGCGGTCTGAAATATTAAACCGCGCTAAAAGCCTAAAGTTAAACATCGCACTCGATTAATTACGAAAACATGACCGCGGGCGTAGAGAAACGCCCGCCCGAGTCGCGGCCGCTTCTCGGCATCTCTACGTTGCGTATATTTCGCGCGAGAGCTTTGCCTTCCGTTTCCGTCGACATATCGTGCCGGCGAAGGTCGGCAGCGGAAGAGTGGGCGAGAGGATAGAACGGGAACGCGACAGGACATGGGACGACGGTGTATTCGGTTTCGCGAAATGCAACGGAGGTGCATTAAAGCGCGCACGTTCCTTTGGCCAGGAATATAATAGAATTTCCCGAGAAGAGGAAGCGCGGAGAAGATTAGAGCTGACCGCTAGTCTAAGAGAACAAACTATCGTCCTTTATCCTGATTCATGGTTCAATTAGAGGATCACTTTTGATGGAATATCGATTCGAACAAAATATTAGTGTCGATTATTATTATTGAAAATTGCAAATATTTTTATAAAGTTTTAAAATGTAATATTAATTTAAAAAATTAGAGACATTGACATTAGATATCTTTCTTTAGAATTGTTTTAACTTTAATAATTTATAATCGAAAGATTAACAACTTTATCGAAAGTGTTAGAATTCGACGACGGCCTGTGTGGCGGATAGAGATAGAGACACTGTTGCTGAATGTAAAGATACATTTATAGATACATTTACGCGGTGCTGGCAATGGGCCGTGTTTCGTCGAGCGCGATAAAAAGCTGGCGCGAGTAGATACGCTTTAATGCCGCCACTCGCGAGCAGGAGAAATATAATGGAATCTATGACGCGTAAAGCGCGCAGCCCCTCATCTTACGGGACTGCGCGCGGCGACAGATAAGCGCATACACCGCTACCGTTACCGCCGTTTCTCCTATGCAACGAATAGGCTAAGTCACTCTCTCGGCGGCACTCGCGAAATCGATAACGAGCCTCGCCCGCCGTCGTCGTCATGCCGAGGAGACTGACGGGCGAGAAACCGCGTCGTCAAGGTTTCTCGAGATCTCTGGAATTAAACCCTTCTGATATTATAAATTCGCTATTTGTGGAGTGCGAGAGAAGAAAAAATAATTTTTTTAGAAATCGATTGTCCATTCGTTCACGGATGTATTGTATTATTGAAACATAAGGCTTTTTGAAAGAGGAAGGCGATTATAAATATTTATTTAAATATATTAAATATAAAATTTATATAAATTTTTACAAATATCTTAATTAATATTCATCACTCTATAAATAGTTACTTAAGGGAATGAAAAGTGAAAATAGAAAACAAATTTCTTTATACAAATATGCACGTAATGGCACAGCAATGAAATTTTGACGAAAAAGTACGTACGGGAATATAATTATAAGAATTGCGACTATAGAAATATACAGGAATAAGTCCACGACACTTTGTGCTTCATAGGTACAATGCGGATATTTTATCTCGTGTCTTGCGACAGGAGCTTCCCATTAAATGCAATATAATAGACAAAACAGTCTCCTTAAGAACTCTTATCTTCACCCGTAGTCCGCCATTACGAGACGCAAGTATTTGCGGAATTTATTTTTAATCGGATCGCCGCCGACGCGACGGAGG